TCTAGTCTACATGTGCTGATTGGTTCCTTTAAGTTAGCTGAAACAATTTTTCCAGAATATCAGTGAGTGACCAGAACATATGGATTATTATAACACTTTTGGAGAAACCAGCTCGAGTGCGCTAGAATTTGAAAATACACAGCCGGAAGAAATGTGCCACTTCCTCACAGAGTCCCTCCTCCAACACACACGAACGCGCACATGACCAATGAGGGCACGAGATAAGTTTGTGCACAGATGGAAGGCTGCCAGGCAGGTAGGCCATCCAGTTACTTTAGCCGGGCCGGCTCAGATGATTGCTCAGTACTACGGCTTCCACAGATGACGTTTTTTTATGGATTTTTTGTCAAAGCACTTCAGATATTCATTGCTATCGGGATGTTAAGAGCATTCCATGGAATATAACAAAAAGTGTATCTCGAGCCGGTTTCTCAAACTTACCTACCCCACCTTTAAGTCCATTTTTAAAATGTTTTCAATTTTGTTATTATAAAGCATTAGTCATTTCTATGACAGCTTATAACTATAATTATCAAGTGCCGTAATCGGTTAAATATACCTTTTATAGACATGAGAGTCTTAATTAGACCCTGACATTTGTACTTGTGTTTGTTTTGCAGCACTTGCTGATCTTGGTTAAGGTGGTTTTGGCGGTTCTGATCCCCGATGAGCCGGACTGGATCCGGAAAAAGATTGAGCATATTGAGTTCACATCCATGCAGGCCTTGAGAGAGCAGGTAAACCCTCCACCATATATTTCATTATTCATCATTTTGGTGGTCTTTAACATATAGTAGACAACATGTCTCTCTTGTCTTTCAGAAGTTGCATTCAGAGAAGTCTTGATTATGTTTCAAAGCTTATGGTGTTGCTTCACGTGTGCTCGGCTGCTACAACCAGAAGACAGAACCATCCTCAGTGTTGTGTGGAGCCACAGAGGTTTGAGATCTCTGCTAGGGCCCACAGTGCTTATAATGCTGCCTGCGTGCACATAAGTGTTCCTGCTGCTCTCACTAATTCACATGGTGCTTCTGCAATATAGACCACTTGAAATGCACTCTTGTAATATGTATACTGCAAGTGCGATGGAAACAGCTGCTAAAAGTGTTTTTTCAATATAAGGCTGCAAATCGAATGTATTGGTTATGTGTGCGGACTTTTAAAAAGACAATGTTATGACGAGGGAGGTGTTGAAAGGGTTAATTCAGATTTAATGAGAAAGAGAGTCAGCTCTTGTAAAATCACTATGGCTACATTATGTGCAGTCAGTATTTTCAGCTTGCAAGGCCAAAGACAGACATTACGTACATTTGTTTTGTCTGGAGTCTCTTGAAGAGTGTTTTTTCTCAGATAACCTATTGATAATTTTGATATAAATTAGCTACAGTTAGTGTTCAGGATTCCTCATTAGAGGACAGTATCATCACTGCAGGGATTATGAGATAAAAAGATAATCCTCCCAAGGGAAATGGCTGTCTCCAATTGTAAAAGTGTAAGTGGGAAGAGTGCAAATATTAAATTGTGTAAGTCTATAAGACAAAATGCTTTAATGTAATTAGACCTCAGAGAATAATCACACAGCAGTGCAGTTACGCTAAGCTACACAGAACGTTTTAGCATCTTTTAGCTATTGTTTCGATTTGTTGGCCTCTAAACTAAAGAAACCAAGGAAGCCATAATGAAACCATTAGCAGCTAAAGGACCAGATATTTTCCAGATGGAGACAAAAAACAGCAAAATAGAGTGACTATAAGATATCAGGGAGACAGAACACACAGTTAGCCATGTCAACTTTATTAAGAGATACTATGCTAGTGCTGCGTTTACAGTTAGTTGTGTTAGTTGTGTTGAGCTATACAAAAGTGTGTTTGTCTCCATCAAATGGAGACAAAACAGAGGACAATCTTTAAACTAAACTTGCAGTGTGTATTTTCAGTAAATGTATGTTACACGTGAGTTAAGTGCTCAGTCAGCGTTGACAGGGACAAAAGTCAAATAAAAAGACAGTGAAGTATTTTTCACATTTATTTATAATGTGTTCTATAATAATGGGTGTATTACCTGTTACTGTTTGAATTTACATTCAGAGTTGTAAGAAATCATGAGAAACACATTGAGATTTGCTTCTGGTTGTGTTGGTATAGAATTGTGCACTTCTATTGATGTCATTGCCCTCTCCTCAAATAATGACACTGTGGTTATTGTACCTTGGCACATCTGTAACACAAAATTAAACATTAAATTATGTTCCAAGATTTCATTTGCATTTATTTAATTTATTAGTTTATTTAACAAGATTAAAGTTAACCAAGAGGCTATTTTCATCTGTAGTCCCTGAACAAATGTTGTATAGCGACCCTAAAATCGATGTATAAAATAAAAACAATTGCAAATGAATTGAAACACAAAGGCTCAAGACAGGGGATGCCAATAAAAACAAAATCATACATATTACTTAGCAAAAAGATAGCTACAGGTTAGAGCAGACAGAGGACAGTATTGAACAATTGATTGTTTGAGTATTGACAGATCTGAGTTTGAATGATCCTTGTCTTTAAATGGGTTCTAAATGTGGCATGTTCTGCAATGGTTGTTCAGATGGAATTCCATTCTTCTGAAGCTCAGCCGGTTTACATATTAAAGGATATATAAAATGTTAAATCAATTTTGAGTCCTGGTAGAATTAGTTATTCGTGTAGTAATCAGCTGAATAAGGTCAAAGTTACTTTATCTCCTAAAGGTTCTTTCTAGCTAAGATGTCCTCCCAAATAATGTTAAAATCTCTCAGAACCTTTTTGCTATAATTGTATTCTCTTAAACTTCTCATAAAATGTTTTTTTTTAAGAGGGAGGACGTTCAATTCCAGTAAGAACAAAGTAAATGTGTGTTCACATAATTATATTAAAACAATTTTTCTAATAAATTGCGATTTCACCACTGAATTTCATTATACTGGATACTATCCTTCACATAAATCATGACTCCGCTCCCTTTTTAAGACGCATTCATCTCTCCGGTAAATGTTAAAACCTGGTAGTCAAAGGCTGCTGTTGACAAGAGACAATGTAACTTTAGTAAAGAAGAAAGCAAGATATAGTACCAAAAAGGTTTCTCAGCATCCACTGTTCAGAGGAGACTGCGTGTATCAGGCATTCATGGTCCGATGGCTGCAAAGGTCCACTACTGAGGATGAACAACAAGAAGAGAATTGTTTGGGCCAATAAACACAATAATTGGCTACCACAGCATTCTGCAGTAGCCAGCAAAAATATAAATCATATTCTGGATTTTTAGTTTACTAGATAATTCCATATGTGTTATTTTATAGTTTTGATGTCTTCAGTATAAATCTACAATGTAGAAAAAAATTAAATAAATAAAAAACTTCGAATGAGAAGGTGTGTCAAAACTTTTGACTGGTAGTGTATCAGGAAAGTCTTCCTTTCTTCAATTGTACTCTTTACTGTTATATACATTGTTAAGTTAAGGAGATATATTATTTTCAGCCACCAGGAGGCACTATACACTTAAAACACTTTTCAAAGTATTCAGGTTGTGTGTGTGTGTGTGTGTGTGTGTGTGGTGTGTGTGTGTGGTGTGTGTGTGTGGTGTGTGTGTGTGTGTGTGTGGTGTGTGGTGTGTGTGTGTGTGGGTGTGTGTGTGTGTGTGTGTGTGTGTGTGTGTGTTAGGTGTGGTGTGGGTGTGGGTGTGTGTGTGTGTGTGGTGTGTGTGTGTGTGTGGTGGTGTGTGTGTGTGGTGTGTGTGTGTGTGTGTGTGTGTGTGTGGTGTGTGGTGTGTGTGTGATGTGTGTGTGTGTGTGTGTGTGCTGTGTGTGTGTGTGTGGTGTGTGTGTGTGTGTGTGTGTGTGTGTGTGTGTGTGTGGTGTGTGTGTGTGTGTGTGTGTGTGTGTGTGTGAGTGATCAGGGTGTTCTGTTAGAGACAGACTTGACAGTGTTTGTTAATAAGTTAACTGTTGTCTGCTGTCTAGTGTTTATAAAAGGATAGTCTGTGAAAGTAATCCACCTTCCCAACCGTCTCTCAGCACCACTCTACTTATTACACAGCTGCAGTTAATTGTTTATCTTCTAGAGCTAAAGGGATTAGAGCATTAGTCACTTAGTTTATCAACAGAAATGGAACATTCATCTAGTAATCAGTCAAATTTAATCAAGGTTTATTTTGACAATTAACTATTTAAATTAAGTAAACATTCCAAGCATTCCCTTTTTATTGGTGTGATAATAAACCTAATATTTGTGGGTTTTGGACTACTGCACGTTAAAGCATTATCTTTGAATTTAAGAAAAAGTGTTAAGCATTAAACATTTCAAACAGATGAATGAATCATTAGTGGCAGCCCTATACTTCAATTGTTAACAAATAAAAACGAAATGTGTAACGGGCACTAAAACCGTTTTGGATCCAAACGGCATAGATTAGGATTAGTTCCACCTCATCATACAAAATGTTACATTATTGAATTTCTAAAGATAATCCAAAAACATAACATACATTCTGCTGTGTAATAAATAAGGATAAAATACATTTAGCTGGTCAAATGCTATGCTTTTACAAATGTAAGACTTTGAATGCATTTTCTAAATAATCAGAATGCTTCTTCCAGCAGTGGCAGAATCATACAGTCGTTTTTCTGTGTTTGTAATTCAGTAATTGCTTTAGTTAGTTCTCACATGGGCATGTGGCTTATCCTCATGCATCAGAACAGAATGCCTGAGGTGCTGTGAGCAGAGGAACAGAGCCAACTAGGCAACAAACTAACTGTGGCGCCATATTGATCCCTTTGTTTATCTCCCTCTGTGGTTTGTAGAAGTATCCTATTACCTATCGTTTCAGTTGATATTGGGCTTTGTGGGGTTTATAGGGGCAGCTGGGGCTTAATCCAGCCTTGTTGTAAAGACATTATTACATTTTGTGTGTGTGTGTGTGTGAGAAACAATATCAGTGTCCACACTATGAAATCAGCACACACATCCATCCTGTTGATTTAATCCTTTTTAATAAATAAATACAGAAAAATAAGTTGATGGCTCCATGGAGTCGTGGTCCTAGCTTCAATGCAGGTCAGTAGAAACACTGAGGAGAGACAGGCTGCAATCACACAGGAACAAATAACAGGATTTCATCCCTTTGCTGCACATATTTGACCCTTCTACAGCTGATGAAATACGAGTGATAATCAGGCTTCACACGCATCAGTTCCTTATAAAGAGGGGGAGTGTTTGATCAAAGGTCCCAGGATCAAATCCAATGTGTTGTCCCTGTGAGAAGCGGCAGTGACTGACAGGAAAACACTCTGTTATTGTACAGCTTTGGCCTTCTTTAACTTTACAAAATTCTCGTCTCAGCTTCGAAAGAGGAAAAATACAGTGTGTAATGAGAAAATATAGGAACACACACAAGATTGATATGGTCAAACAATACCATACAGAGGCTACACTATAACATATCACATCATTGGGTGTAAATGAACTCCATCCATCAGTCCAAAGATGCTTCTGGAAAGCTACCAGCGACAGCAGTGTGTGCAATTCATCATTCAGTGGGTTTACTTAGAGTTACACGAGAGCATGTCCTGCCAGATACAAGACACATGGAGGTATAGTGTGATAAATAACAGTAAGAACATGCACAAAGTCACATTTCTCTTCAGATAGTAAATACCTTTGTCACGGTGTAAAAAAACCTCAAATCTGCACATCCAAAATAAAATAAAACTGTTAGGATTGTTTAAATGTTCAGCATGAATAAAAATAAATGGAAGACCTGCATCCCAATCAATGACCCTATCAATAGTATAATACAGTATGTTAGGACAAGTTATTATATTGGATAACTTCAGGTTTTAGCATCATATCATCATCTCAGTCTTAGGCATATATTACATGTCATATATCACATCATATCATAACAGTCTTTCTTTAAAAGAGCTTATATAAAGAGCTTTTAAACCACTGAGCAGCGGGTTGTGCAAAGGGGAGAGGAAAGGAGAGCTACTCTGTAGCAGAAGCTGGTTCAAACTTTATTCTAATTCATATATTAGAAAATATGAAATCATGGAGTGCGAGACCATTCTGAGTTTAAGAGCTTTCTGCAGTCAACATGTACAGTATGAAACCCATTCCATCCATGTAGGCACCTTTTAAACAAACAAAACAGACTATAGCTTATTCAATAAAAATGGTTGCAGTTGCTATGGCTACGTTCAGAATGCAGGCCAAAAGCTTGTTAGCACATATTTGACTCAGATCTGGGTTTTTTTTCATAACGGTGTAAACAGCACAAATCACATGAAACCAGATCTTGTTAAAGGGGCCCTATTATGCTCATTTTCAGGTATATATATGTATGTGTGTCTCCATGTGACATGTCTCCATGCCTTAATGTTCAAAAAGCTCTTTATGTTTCTCATACTGCCTGTGCTGCAGCACCTCTTTTCACCTTCTGTCTGAAATCAGAGCCCAGTCTGCTCTGATTGGTTAGCTGGCTGGCTGGCTCTGTTGTGATTGGTCAACCGCTTAGTGACGTCCCCGCCCCTTAGCCTATCACGTACTGTACAACGTGTTGGAGAACTAGCCAATGGAAGCACGAGTGTAACGTGTTGATGTCACTACTTCGCGGCAGTAAACAAAGGAGTCCAATGGAGGTGTTTCAGACGGGGGTGGGGGGGGGCTGATGGTTTGAGTGTGGGAGAGAAACTCACTTTGGGGTTTTAGCCTTTGCAGACCATTTACTTGCACACAAACCTATAGAACACACTACAGGAAAGGGAAACGACCCCAAAAGATAATAGGGCCTCTTTAATTCTGATTTGGGCAGATGCAGGTCTGATATTTCTTTTTGGAACAGTTCAATCTGAATTCATGTGACTTTTCTGTCTAATTTGACATTGTGTATACAGTGGAGGGACAGTGAAAGTCATCACCTGCTTCCTCTGTAAACACATGCCACCATGCTTCTGAAAGTTATCTGTGTGTGACTTCCTTGTAATTATTATGTTGTGCATGCGGGTCAGTTCAGGACCAGTTCGCACAATAATGGTCACTTCTAAAAAATATAACGGGAAACAGCTAAACCAAAAAATTCCCAGAATTGAGCGCTAAAGCTTGCAGTGTGAACGTAGCCTACCTCTTCTTCTTGTAGGTCCAGTATTGCTTCTAAGCTACAGATTGGACACATTATAAATCTCCGGTAACAGTAGCATGAGGTTCTACTAAGTCTGACTACAGTGCTGTACACCACCTCTAGCTCAGCACAATGTTAATTACATGAGCACAATGCTAGAAGGGGGTTGATTGTGGGTTAGCTGTACACGTCCCATTTGGCTCTGCACATCACAGGTGGTGTTCTCAGTGTCCCGCCACCTGCCCCCTGCTAAGCAGCCTGCATGTCCCCAGTCAGTGGGTTCACTTACAGCACATGGCAGCAGTTGTACTGAGCCAGCGGCAGGATCTTGGGCTTGTTCTGTGTGGGTATGTTGAAGGCCAGAGCTTTCTCACACAGGGGGAACTGGAAGAGTCTCTCACGCAGCTTCAGGCTGTGTCGTTTCCCCTGCTCCACCCTCGGAGCAGCCTCTTCCCGGGGTGGAGATCTGTCCGTTAAGAGGTCCTCTCTCCCCCCCTCCTCTGTTCTCTCCTGTTTCTGCGCCTCCTTATTGTTCAGGATGAGTCTTGGAGAGGAGGCGGGGATGGAGGGATCAGAGGGATCAGGGAGGAGAGGAGGAGCCTTGTTGTTGTTGGGTTCTGTCTCCTCGTCGTTTCCTTCCTCCGGGCTCGGGGACTCCGGCTGCCCCCGACAGCACGGTACCACCAAACCAGGCAGAGAGGACGGTGGGAGGGCAGGGGTCGGCCTGAGAGGCCTGTCTCCATGACCGACAGGCTGGTCTGAAATCACACACCCACTGTCTTCCTCCTCTATCTCCATATCTTCCTCCTCTTCCTCCTCTTCCTCCTCCACTATCTCCATTAAGCTTCCTAATCCTTCTTTTTGGTCATCTGAACCTTTAAGTATCTCCTCAACTTCTTGTTCTGCCTCTGCTTCTTGCAAAGATTCTAAACCTTCACCCTCTTTTGCCAAACTCCCCTCCTCCTCCTTCTCCTCCTCCTCCTTCTCCTTCTCCTCTTCCTCACCCTTCTCCTTCTCCTCCTCCTCTTCCTCTTCCTCACATATCTGCTGTAGTGCAGGAATGTTCTTAGGGACTGGTGGCTCTTCAGCGGGAGGAGGTCTGAGGGTGAAGCTGAGGCTGGGTTGCCAGTGGCCAGGGAAGGTCTGAGGTTGAGGCGGGGGTCTTGCGGCAAGCAGATCCCCACACTCAGGTGCTCCTGAGCGGGGAGAGCCTGGAGAGAGGGCCCCTGAGAGCCAGTGTGGCGGGGCCTCGGGGCTCAGTAGGGCGTCATCCAGCCCCTGCAGCCAGGGATGAGCCTGGATCTCCTGCAGCGAGGCGCGCAGAGACGGGGCCTTCTGCAGCATCCTGGAGATCAGGCTGAAAACACACAGAGCGTTATTGTTTCACAGAGATATGAAAAGCTTGCATTTTCCATAGCCTGAATTGACACAGACAATAACCTGATTATATCTGATCTAGGTCATCTCCCCACATCTTACTAAAATAGCTTGAGCACTGTATTAAAGTCCAGAAGGTTGTTCTGTTCTATTCTGCTCCTTCTCAATAATCAAACAGCATCATGTGACTGAGTCATATGATGGTTCAGACGTTCCAGGATGTGTTTGCGGCTGCAGATAATCGAACACACCACTTTATTAGGGGATTTTTTGTTGCCTTCTAGAGAACAGGAAATCAGTGTGAATTCAGAGCAAGGACTCGCGCAGATACAGCTGCTGCTACATTCATGTTTTTGGTTCAGTGTGTTTGTTTTTCAGCAGGAATAGGGATAAACGACGAGCCCTGTTATAATAACACTCTATAGAGTGGTGCAGGAACGAGTCCTAAAACCCGGAAGTGAGTTAGCATTCTACCACTTCGGGTTCACTTGTCTCAGAGTCAACGTTTTTTTTAACATGTTTTTGGAAATCTGCTCGAAATAAGGTCTGTGTTTGACACAAACTTAAGAGACGGATCACGTTTTGTTCTACGACATTAAATACATCAGCAGTGACCCCACTGGTGACTTTTGAAGAGTTTACGTGTCTGAAAAACGATGGTTGTTAACAAGGGGCTGAATAGGACTACAGAAGTTGTGGAGGACGTTGTACGTCATTACACTGAACACGTAAACACTCCTCTAAGTTTGTTTGCCCTGTTCTGCTTGAAAGCAAGTCCCTGCCTCCTGCAAACTGTTCAAACAAACACTTCAACTTGTACCATTTACAATCTGTATGTTTGAATATCGATCTTAAGTTGGCGTGACGTTGAAGTCGTGCGACCCTGCTGTAGTTCCTTTATAGCATAACGTTAGCATTTTGCTTCAGGCGATTAGATTTATGATTCGAAAATGATAAAAGTAGGGTAGACATGTGGATATTATCCGGCTGAACAAAACGTGCATTTATCAAACAGGTTCGTTTTCCACAGACCTTATTTCCAGCTATTTTCCAAAATCCTATGGAGAAATCCCACTGCTTTCTGTCGAGGGAACCCGAGCGCAGCTTACTTCCGGGTCGGCCTACAAAAATACGTCATCACTGCACTACTCAAGAGTGTGCACATGAGTTTTCCTTAAGCCCCGCCTCCAATCTCCTACTCTCGACTCAGTCAAATGAACGCAGTGAAAATAACTGTAGCTCCTGCTTTAAGCGCATTTAACAACTTTGATAAAGTATTCGTACTGGGTAGTCTATTAAGCAAAAAATAAATAAATGGTACACCGATTTACAGTGTGTTTTGGATACACACTCACACACAATACTTGTTAGTATGATTATTTCATTCGTTTATGTGGAAATTCCCTGCTGCATCATTAAATTGATACTTAACTATAGATGTCTACCCTGCTCCCTAGGTTTAATGCTAGATTTTTTTAAAGACCTTTATTAATACCACATGATGTGATTTGATAAGGTTACACCTTCAAGAATGATCAATTATTCTGAGAAATTCTCAGCAGTATGTAACAATAAGTCCTCATGATTATTAATTAAATGAATGCAACCGGATTAGCATCAGTAAAGAGGGAGGCATTAGCCTTTTTAATATGATTAATTCATAACTACATTAGTCACAGTGCTTGCTATAGGTCAGATGATGCTGACTGAACAGAAACAAGAACAGGAACTTATGTCGAAACAGATTTTATGACTAACATCAGAATTAAACAAATATTAAGGACTTTGTACATTAAATTCAAGGATTTGTAATACTTTCTAAGATTACTTTTTGAAGAGGCCCTATTTTGCTTTTTGGGTTTTCCCTTTCCCGGAGTGTGTTATACTGTATCAGTTATGTAAATGGTCTGCAAAGTCTAAAATCCCTGTGTTCCCTCCAGAGGGAGTTTCTCTCCCGCACACTCCCCCCCCCCCTCTGCCTGAAACGCCTTCATTGGACTCCTTTGTTTACTTGCGTAACATAATGACATCACTGTGTTACACTCTCGCCTCTATTGGCTCCAAAACATTTTTTCATCACTCTCCAACCGTATTTTATGTTTATCTGTAAGCTGAGGACAGAGTGTGTGATTGGTTGGAGGTGTTAGGAGTGAAAGTGAAGTGAGAAAACCCATGAGTAAATATGAAGCAAAAGTCTGTGTGTATTTTACCGGACTGGAATATGGTCTTAAGGAGACAGATGTTCAAACTATTTCATTAGAAAACACTCTAACAATGTTTAAAGCCACAAAACAAAGTGTTCAGTGTTTTAGCTGGAGCTGAATTGGCAGCAGGGTGAAGAAGTGTCTGATATAACTAGGACACTAGCATTATCCAGTGAAACACACACTAATTAGATAATTTCACGGTCAGCAGCTTTTAGACAGGCCGTGGAACAGCAGAATAATCTCTGGGAGCAGAATAAGCCTTTATATGAAGAATCAATTCACGCAGAAGGAAATAAACCCATAGAGATAATATAATCTTTGTTTTTATACATAATCAGTTTGTTCTGAAGCTGTGATCAGAGCTTAATCTTATCAAGTGTTGCCATGTTCTGACCCTGGTCTCATTTATCAGTACTCACTCTCTACAGTCGTCTGAAACGTGTTTGGGGAAGCGGTAGCGGCAGTCCAGAATCATGACCAGAGTCTCGCTGTCGTTGGTTTCCTGGAAAGGAGGGACTCCACACACCAACATGTACAGGATCACCCCGAGAGACCAGATATCTGGAACACACAGAAAAGCACACAAATCCGCCATAAATAGCAAGTCATGTCAGACTCTAAAAAGCCTACTGCTAGCAGATTATAATAAGATTTCCAGGGGACTCATAAACAGTGTTGGGACTAACACGTTACAAAGTAACGCGTTACTGTAACGCCGTTATTTTTTCCCGTAACTAATACTCTAACGCATTATTTTTTAAATTCAGTAACTCAGTTACCGTTACTACATGGTGCGTTACTCCGTTAGTTTTTTTTATATAGTCAACAGCCAGGCGAACAGAGATGAGAACTGTACTTTAGTACAGTACTTGAGTAAATGTACTTAGATACTTCCTGTGTCACATGCGGAGACGGGCTGTGGGCGTGTTTGTGTTGTTTACTAACAAGACTATCATGGCGGCGGCGGAGCTCAAGTCTAGTTTCTCCACCTGGAGATATTCTCACTATTTCACTTTAGTCGAGCACAAAGAAAAGAAAGTTTCTGTTAAATGTAAGTTGTGTCTTGGCAGGTCAAAGAGCCTATCTACTGCCCAAACCAGTAATTAAAATCTCTTAAAACATCTGCAAAAACAACATGCTGGGACGAAGCTAGTAGCTAAGACCACAGAGACTCAGCCGACGCCACTCCACCTCCACCTAAGCAACAGCGGCTGGATTTTAACCAAAGGACTGTTATCCAGGGAAAAGTCGATAAAGCCATTGCACGGTATGTTGTAGAACACATGCAGGCTATTGCTACAGTGGAGTCACCCGCTTTCAGGGAGCTAGTTAGCATGATAGCATGTCCGGGCGGCACACGGCATATGGGACGGAAAACTTTTTCCAACTACCTGGAGAAAGAATATACAAAAATGGAAAGCCAGCTAATATCGATGCAATCCAGATTGCATATAATGCATGTGAAGTTGATCAACAGATTGTATTATTCTCCAATGCAATAACAGTACTGAAATGAAGGCTATAAGGGCATTAATGATAGGGATGCCAGTGATCGGTCGAATAATCGATTATTATTCGCCAGGGCTGCCGAATAATCGATTTTGATCATGGTCAGTTTCTGGCAACCCTAATTAATGGGAGCCCTTTCTTTAAGTAACAAATACGTTACTTTTCACTGTAACGCATTACTTTTTGGTGTAAGTAACTAGTAAAGTAACTGAGTTACTTTTGAAATGAAGTAACTAGTAATGGTAACTAGTTACTGGTTTTCAGTAACTAGCACAACACTGCTCATAAGAGATATTTAAAAATAAACCTCCCTTTTGAAATTACATTACATGTCACTTGTCAGACGCTTTTATCCAAAGCGACTTACATACTCAGTACTGTGGGCAATCCCCACAGGAGGAATTTGGGGTGAAGTGTCTCAGGGACACAACGACATGCTGACTGCAGTGGGGTTTGAACCTGTGACCCCCTAACCCGAACACCAACGCTCAACCCACTGCACCACACGCCTTGACTTGAAACCCCCTTAAAGTTATTTTCGACTGCATTGAACCGATTTTGTCCAACAAATATACATAAAAGGATCAACTCTAGATCACAGTATAAAAAAAGCAGTATTTATTGATAATATAGTGGTGCAGTGATGACGTATGTTTGTAGGCTGACCCGGGAGTTAGCATTGGAAAGGGCTCCCTTGACAAAAATAAATGGGATTTTCCCATTGGATTTTGGAATATTGAAAAAAAAAAGGTCTGTGGCAAACGCCTGTTATGGTACTTACACATATATTTACAAAGTTAACGTAAGCCTATCACCACCGCTAAGCTAAAGGTGGCTAATGTTTTGCGTGATGACATTTACTATACTTTTTGAGTTACTTGTTAGCAACCACTGTTTTTATGACACGCAGAAGCTTCGGACATACACCAGTGGGGTATTTATTGACATAGTTTATGACCTAGAACAAAATGTTTAAATCTCTTAAGCTTGTGTAAACCACAGATCTTTTTTCAGGCACCTAACCAACACCACGTAAAAAAACAAAAACTTTGAGACGAGGGAACTGGAAGTGCTACAATGCTAACTCACTTCTGGGTTTAAGGACTCATTTCTGCACAACTACATTTCCTCTCGCCTCCTCCATATCCTAGAGAGGTCAGAGGTGAGCATCAGAGCAGCGTTCCTGCCAAGTGCTATATGATGTTGACCCTCAGTTAAGTGAAAAAATATAAGAGGAAAGAGAAAGATTTACAGCTGGATGTTTTATGTGTCGAAAGGAAGGGGCCTAAGCTGCAGACGGATGGGCTTGGTGTTCTGGACACACACACACACATACACACACACACACACACACACACACACACACACACACACACACACACCACACACACACACACACACACACACACACACACACACACACACACACACACACACACACACACACACACACACACACACACACACACACACACACACACACACACACACACACACACACTTTCCGTGTTGCCCGACAGTGCTGACACTGTGTTATTTTCCCGTCTCCTCCCTTTCCTTCCTCCTCCTCTCCCCCTCCCTCTCTCGTTCTCATGCAGATGCATTGAGACGAGGTCCATGCAAACTCAGAACGCGGTGGCGGCCGGTTCAGGGAAACGCACACAAATGCAAAGGAAAGGGAGCTGAGGGCTGAAGGCCATAACAAACAAAAGGCTTGTTGTGGTGTTGAGCTATTCTAAGAATAGCGTTCCCTCTTTTTTTCTGTCTCTTCTGGTGTTTCTCCCAAAACACTGGGGAAAAGAACACCGCACACAGGAAGTTCGACTTGTCCGATAACCCTAATGTAACTCTACGAATAAAGCTAGTTCCCATATCTAATAAATACCACCTCTGCTTAAATCACAGTTCTTATCAGTTCTTTTAGACCTTGGTCTTTTTCTCAATCTTTCATCAGTTTTGTCATTGTTACTACAAGGACCATTATATATACAAGGGATTTAAACACAGTAGCACATTAATCCTTTTAAAATTGGCTGTATAGTCCCTACATTTTCACTTTGTGTGTCAATCTAATAATTTTAAGTTTTCTTCACACATTTTGTTTTCTACTACAGAGTTCTTGGCATTTGGATATATATTTTTTTAAATCCTCTGGAGCAGAGAGAGGATGTATATATATTAAAAAAAAAAGATTATAATTATTATTTTTTTAAACACCTTGAATTTCAGGGGGGCGCGGGGCTCCGTTGGCGGGGCGCAGCGCCCCTCCAAGACAATGGTAGGGGAAACACTGATATTGCACTGCATCGATTTAGTGAGATAATGCCAGATGATCTGCCTATTTTAATTAGCTTTTTCATTTAAATATCCAAAGCAAATTAGATGAATAGGGATTGAAAGCTCTTTTCTTTCAGAAGACAATGACTTTTCAAAACACTGGTTCATTCAGATCCATATCTATCTCACACGTACCAGTCCCATGTGTAAAAAACATTACGCTATTGTCCTAAATTATCCCCACAATGGTCGGAACAACGGCCCTCAGTCCTCACCGTACAATGTGAACTCGTGTTTCATTTCAGTCCAGTGAAGTGTTATGCAACAGGGAGGAGACACTGAGTGCTGGGAGAGTACTTTTCTCTGCTCACTGGGGAATATCACACATTCTCACCATGCATTAGCACACACACACACACACACACACACACACACCACACACACACACACACACACACACACACACACACACACACACACACACACACACACACACCACACACACACACACACACACACCACACACACACACACACACACACACACACACACACACACACACACGCACACACACACACACACACACACCAGAGCTTGTGCCCAGAGTACTGCAAAAGGAGCGAACGATCCTGGATGTGGCCTTTTTTAGCGGATGCCCTGTCGAAGTGCGCAATGCAAGACGTCATAAAGGGTCAACAAAGTCAGCCCCGTTCCAAAGGGACCTCTAAGAAAGATTCTGCTCTTTTTTGCCCAGATTTCATTGCAGCAAATGCAATTGTGTCATCATTCAGGTCATCAGTCACCAATAAAGAAACAATATGAAATGGTCCTATTTTAAGCCATTTATTAAGCTAATTATATTTACAAATCTTGTTATTCTGATTCTGATTATATTCCAACCGACATAATGAAAACTGGGAGGCAAATGATTATATGTACATGTATTGTGTGTTCAGCTTTAACTGAATATTATGCAGCAGGGACAACTGCTCACCTCAACAAAAAGCCAATGGGATATTTCATTTAATTGTTGAGTTATAGTAGAAAAAAGTCTCAGGGGCAATCAAACACAAATGATACTTCCACATTTTGCCCAGCAAACTCACAAATGAATAGCACCTTTATGATTTTTGAGGTAGAAGTAGAAAGCTCACTTTAGGCTATAAGATAGCTACACTGCGGTCGTATGCTATAACTCACCTTCTAGTGACAGTATTACGTACAGTATGTTGACATTTTTTTCTTTGGAATCAGATGAGATGCTTCATGGATAATGTCGAGACATACAATACAAATGTTTGTACACACTTCTAAACAGTTATTATAATCGTGTAAGATCAGAGCAATGTGGTTGATTTGAATTGTATTATTTTAATGAAAAAGTAAGGGACTTGCAAGAGACAAAAGCAATTAAAAAATGTAGTCTCAAGTGTGGGTTAAATGCCGAAATATTAACATAGAAGACATTAGAAAATGGTTTTCAAAGGCTAAGTGGTACTCTCGCTGACAAGTCAGTGGGAAAGATGGTCAAGTGCCCCCTTACAAAATGGGCTTTGTTAGTTTAAAGGGGCCCTATCATGCTTTTTTTCCTGTAGTGTGATATATCTGTTTTTGTGCATGTTAATGATCTGCAAAGGCTTAAATCGCAAAGTAACCTCCAGAGGGATTTTCAGTGACATCACTATGTAACACACACTTCTTTTGACTAGCGCTCCACAGATGGCACGTGATGGGCTAAGGGGCGGGACATATCTAGGTGGTGGACCAATCACAAC